GGGGAATATAAAAATAAAATTTAATATTTAAAAAAAAAAAAAAAAAAAAAAAAAAAAAAAAAAGTAAGAGAAGGGCCTCCCTGGTGGTGCAGGGGTTAAAAGTCTCAGCACTATCAAGCTATTGCCAGTCACTGAGGCATGAGTTCAATCCTCAGCCAGGGAGCTACCCACAGGGCGCAGCAGACCTCTCCTGTCTCACCTGCTGCTCCCCTCAGCAGTATATTTCAATCAGTCTGCCTATTCTGCTCCCCACTCTGTCTCTGGTGAATCCTCTTACCTTCTGCACCTCTGGCCTGTACCCCAGTTCTTGTGCACATAAATAAATAAAGGTAAACCTTCTTTAAAAAAATAAGAGAAAATCTAAGACATTCCCAGATAAACAATAACTGAGGGAGTTCATTACTATTAGATCTGCCTTGCAAGATAACGCTTAAGGGATTCACAGGTCAAGATGAAGTCATATAAAAAATGGGAAATTACAAAAACTAGCATTACTGTAACTTTGATTTACAACTCCACTCTCTGTTTTTTACATGATTTAAGAGACTAATACATTTAAAAAGACAACTATTAGTCTAAAATCTAGTGTTGTTATAACTTTGGTTCATAACTCCACATTTTGTTTTCTACACATTTTAAGAGACTAGTGCATTAAAAATAATTAGTGATCTATGGTTATAACTTAGATGCACAATGCATAAAGATGTGATTTTTGTGACAGCAGTCATTGAAAGGGGATAGGGACAGAACTGAATATGAGCAAGTTTATGTCTACTATTGAAGTTAAATTGATATAAGTTCAAATTAGATTGTTGTAACTTTAGGATGCTAAATGAATTCCCATAGTAACCACAAAGAAAACAGCTATAAAATATATGCAAAAGGAAAAGAGAAGAGAACTAAAACATTTCGCTCCAATAACTCAACTACATGCAAAAGAAGACAGTGGTGCTAGGAATAGGATACAAAAACAACTATAAGGCATATAGCAAATAGAAAAATGACAGTTCCTTCTTATTAGTAATTTCTTTAAATAAATTACTGGATTAAAATTATACAATCACAAAACAGAGACTGGCAGAAAGGATAAAAATGATCCAACTATATGATGTCTATAATAGACTCACTTTAGATCCAAAGACACAAATACATTGGAAAGATGGAAAAAGATATTCCACACACATACTGAAAGAGTGGGAGAGGAATATTACTATGTGCCAAACAAAATAGACTTTATCAAAGAAGTTTACAAAATAGAAAGAACATTGTATTTTAATAAATGATTCAATACAGCAAAAACATAGAGCAATAATAAACATTTACCCATCTAGTAACAAACCTTCAAGACATATTAAGTAAAATAAGACATAGTTGAAGGGGGAAATAGTTCTACAATAATAGTTGAAGTTGTCACTACCCTTCTCGGTATTGACTTAAAATGACCAAACAAAAGATAAGTAAGAAAAACACCCAGTGCATGTATAAACGAAACAAATGAACAAACAAACAAACAAATAAATAAATAAATAAAAACATGCCTCTATAAAAAAAAAAAGTTTTAAAAAAAAAAAAAAAGAAAAACAAAAGACTTGAACAAATAAATCAACTGATCTAAGAAACATACATGGACATTCTACCCAACAACAGAATGCACACTGCTGTCAAGTGCCCATTGGGACATTCTCCAAGAGAGACCACCATTAGATCATAAGTCAAATATCAATACATTTTTAAAAAATCTATATCATACAATGGATCTTCTCCAAATATGATGGGATGAAGTCAGAAATCAATAACAGAAGAACAGATGGCAAGTTCACAAATTTGTGGAAATTAAGCAACACATTTAAACAATCCATGAGTCAATGTACTGTATTAGTCAGCTTGGACTGCTGTAGCAAACTCCATAGACTGAGTGGTATAAACAGCAGATATTTATTTTCTCCAGTTCTGGAGGTGGAGAAGTCCAAAATCAAGGTTCCCATTGATTCCATTCCTGGTGAAGACCCACTTCCAGGCTTACAGATGACTACCCTTTCATTTTGTCTTCACATAGCAGAGAGAGAGTTCTGGTCTCTCATCATCATCTTATAAGGATTTTAATCCTCGGAGCCTCACCCTCATGACCTCATCTAAATCTAATTGCCTCCTAAAGGCTGCCTCCAATTACCTTCACATTGGGGGTTAGGGCTTCAACTTATGAATTTGAGGAGGACACACACATTCCATCCATAACATTCTGCTCACAGTCCTCCAAAATTTATGAATATATGCAAAATATATTTGTCCCATTCCAACAACCCCAAACCATCTCCACTCATTCTAGCACCAACTCTAAAATCTAACATCTAGTCTCGTCTGAATAGTATTCTAAATCAGGTATGGGTGAGATGAGGTTTGAATCATCTTGAGACAAAACTCCTCTCCAACTATGAACTTGTGAAACCAGATAAATATGTGCTTCAAAAATACAGCCATGGGACAGAGATGGGAGAGACATTCCCCTTTCAAAAGGGAGAAAGGAAAGAAAGGGTTGATGGTCCCAAGCAAATCCAAAACCTAGCAAAGTTATTATCCTTAGATCTAAGTAATGAACAGAGGGAGGTGAGACGCCACGTCTTTGAAAAAGATCCAACCAGGGAGTGGTTCAGATGTTTCCAGCAGCGAGGTACGCCTTTCTGGGTGTGGGAGGCAGAGGTGGGGCTTGATCAGGATTTCTCCACACCTCAAAAGCGTCTTGCTTGTGAGGAGAACCCTGTGAGGTTGCTGCTCATCAGCCAGCTATCGCCCTGTTGGCCTGACAAACACCCCGAGACCATGGGCACCTTCGGGGGACATGTGATGCCAGGGGTGTTCTTTCTCCTTTTCTCACTCTACTACTCAGTGCTGATGTCCTTGGCCCTGCTACGGGGACAGAGTTTCCTCAAACCTCCTCTGCCCCCACGGGAGAAGCGAAGACACAGTTGGTGGCAGCTAATACCTGTGGAAGGAGTGATAAAGGTGACCACCACCCTGCTTGGCATCCTCCTCGAGTTGTTCTACCCCCCAGGAGCAAATCGGTTGATGATAGTAGACTGGGAGGACCCTCAGCGGCCTTTTGTATTCAAGGACAACTGGCAGCATATCACCATGTACATGTTCTTCCTGGCCAGTGGCGTGGTGGACACGGTGAGCCAGTCCTTTCAGGCACGACAGAATATAAAGCTGGAGCGAGCAGCTGAGGCCCTGGCCTTCTGGGTGCTGGCACTGCTGATGATGAGCCACGTTGAGAACAAGAGCCTCATGGAGATTCGAGTGCACACCTTCTTCATCGTGCCCACCATCCTGGTTAGCCTGGTGCTTACCATTGAGGTCTGGGTGCCTGACCAGCCCCCACTCTGGGTGCTGAAATGCTGGATGGGGCTGGTGCTTAGCAACTGGTTATTGCAGCTCAGCGTGTTGATGTATGTTCCTCCCTCTGGGCAGCCCTGGCGAGCAGAAAACCCCATCGACCTGGCCTTCCTCTCCACCTTCTTCTGTTGGCATCTGGGTTTGGGGGCTGCTCTGCTGGCTGCAGTCTATGGTCTCTGCAGCCTCTGGCACCATCGCTGCTCTTCCTGGACAGAGGCCCTGGAGGCCAAGTACCAGCCATGCCCTACAGGCTACAGGGACGAGGAGCTTGAGAAACTCAGGGAAGAGACTAAGCTGCAGGATGGGGACGTCTAGGTACAGAATCTGTCTTTGTACTGTCCCTTTTATAATGAGAGCTTTGAGGGTACTCATTGTATGTACAGCCTGGTAATATCCTGGGGCTACAATGTGGATTTCCTTTTACATTATTCCTTATTCCTAAATAAACCTTCCACCTCCCCGGATGACTTCTGCCTCTCTGTTCTCTCCAAGTCTCTGTCTTTCCTCTCTCATGACTCAGGATGGCTCCCGGCCTTGGGCTTACATAAAGTAAAAGCGAGGAATAGTGCTTTTCTCTGATAGTTTTGGGCTCCAAGAAGAAATGAAATAAGGAAACAGAGGGAGGTGGAGGGGTGCTGGGACCATGGGAGTGTCCTCTCTGAGGTAGGACTAGCTTAGTGCTTGTGTGTAAATGTGGAAACCAAAGGAGGTCCATTTGCATAATGGTAAGGGTTTCTGCTTTCTTCATTTCCCTCTGTTTTGTTTTGTTTTTTCACAGTAAGTGTAGGAGGATGAAGGACTTGTTTTTTAATCTAAACTAAAATGAGGTCACTCCTGCCTTCTGAGTGAGCAAGGGATCAGGAGAAAGGGGTGGAAATCAATTTAACAGTGGTTCAAGCCTGCGGATGTATTTTTAAGTATATTTCAATAAAATAAAAGTTATTTCAAAATATATTTTAAAATAATTTTCAAATATAATTTTAGGTCATTTGGGTTTTGTTGTGATATGAAAGAATTTCATTGTTCCAAATCGTTCAGCAAAGTCTGCAGTCTGCAGTGTGTGTGCATTTACATGTTGTATGTGAGTGATTCTGAAGCAAGATCAAAGAAAAGGCCCAGATTTCAGTCAGTGGGAGCAGAAGAGAAAGAACTATCATGAAATGTAAAGTGTAACTTATCTCAGGAGTTCTGAAGAGTCAGGAACTCAGAGCTCAGAAAAAAACCTGAGAATGTCAATCCTGGAATTTGCAAGAATTTTCAGTCAGTCATTGAGTTCCCAGAATGAGGAAAGGGGGAGGCTAGTAAATTTATACACTCCGTGAAATATAAGGACACAAACTATATAAAAATATTTATTCGTAGGTACAATTAGAAAGCCACTGTTTTGACTAGCATGCACCTGCTTGTGTAAGATGGAGAAGTCCAGCATTTGAAAGTCTGAAGAGGCAGGAAGAAAGGAAGAGACACTGGCCATCAATGTGGAGAAAGGGCCATAGAGAAAAGTGGCCAGTCACACTAAGCAGCTACAATTGTGCACCTCCCAGCCATCAGGAATGCCGCCCTCGGAGCCTGAAAAGCATCAAGAAGCGTAGAGGTGTTTGCACTTGCAGGATGGACAAGAAGACAGGCTGCACAGTCATTTCAAATACCGCTAGGCACCCCTAAAGAAACAGTGTGCAAGAGCATGGAAAACAGGCCAGAAATGGGGGACAAGAGAGGGGGAGAGAGAGAAGGGGAGCAAGGGAAGGGATGCAAGTGGGGCAGGAGTCTGGCAACTCACACAGGGAGGACTTGGAGGAGAGTGCGCCTCTAGCTGGAGAGGAAGAACAGTGTGTCTTCCTCTAATATCTGGAAGCAGAGTGGCCCCGGCTTTCCTCCCAGTAAACAAGAATCAACCTTAAAAAGGCCTCTTCCTTCTTTCTGTCCCTACCCCAAAGAAGAAGAAGAGACAGATTTACCCTAAAATGAATAAAACTTAAGTTTAAGGGTGATTCACTTTTTGTCTCCCCTCCAAGGCCCCAGGAAGGCCCATAGCAAAGTGTTCATATGATCACAGTCCACTGAAAAATTGCAGAAGTAAGATATTCTGTATTCTGTTTCCTTAAGAGAGACCTCCAAATTGTATATGCTTTAGGTTTCACAAAACCTGGTTCTGCCCCCACCTGAAGGTATAACACAGATATACTTTCAGGATGCCTTACAATAAAAACTGTTCTCAGCCTATTAGTGAAATATGTTTTATTTAATGTTAAGACTCTTCCTTTTCCAACTTGGAAAAACAAGAAGTTTAAAATGCCAAGCGTATCACATACTTGTTGGAAATCACCTGTCAAAATATAATCCCCTAGTCAACAAATGTAAATGAGTGTTATCAGATGCTGAGCCTGACTTAGCGAGGAGGAATTAGAGGTGTAGAAGATGAGGTCGAATAGGAAGTAATTTACAGGGGTGGATCCCGTTTGTCATTTGTGCTGCATGGGGGAATTTTTGTACTATTTATCTGACCCTTGCCTTTGTATATCAGTAAGCATTCATCAGAGAAACAGAACCCAATGGATGTGGATAGGTAGGGGATGGATGGATGGATGGATGGATGGATGGATGGATGGATGGATGGATGGATGGATGGTTGATGGAGTTTCTAAGGAACTAGTTCATGAGATTTTGAGTGCTGTCAAGTCCAAAATCTACAGGGCAGTTCAGCAGGCTGGAGACCCAAAGAAGGGTTAATGTTGTCATCCTAGGTCTGAGGTCAATCTGGAATTCCTTCTTCCTTGGGGCACCTGTCTTTTCTCATAAGGCTTTCAACTGATAGGACGAGGCCCACCCATATTATGGAAAGTAATCTGATTTAAATGTGGTTAATTTAAATATTAATCACATCTGGAAGATAACTTCACTGTCAAATTGAGACTGGTATTTGATCAAACAATTGGGTACTGTAATAACCTAGCCAAGCTGACTCATAAAATTAACCATCATGCTCAGCCTATCGGAACATGGTCATTTAAGTATGATTTATATCAACTGTGTTTGTCATGACTTTTGGAGAGCTTCCAAAATAATAATAGTAACTTCATTTTAAAAATCTTCATCATTATAAGTTCTGATTGCAGCGTGACAAGACATAGAACGCTATATGGACTTTTTCCCTTCCTCATCCCCTCTAGGAGGAGACAGAGAGTGATAAGCGTGCAGGAAAGTGACACATTTTTAAGGGCTAAGAAATAATGTTGGGGGGAGGTTGCTGAATTATCCATGTTATACATTTTAGACATCTTAGAAAAAAACAAAAAAAAAAGCATTTTAAAGAATTTTTGAAATCTACCATAATGCCCTCTCCCAGAATTAGTTATTGCCAGGGAGGGAGAAAAGGGTAGGATATTATTTTAATCACAGAAAGTATGATAAAACTTATACATCAGTGATGAGGCCTTCCCTGGTGATGATCCCAATGCACCTGGTGACTAAGGCATGGAATAGATTATCAAAGAGGTTTGGAAGTCTAGGTCACTGAGGATTAAAAAAAAAAAATCCAGAACTGAGAGTCTACCATTTTTCCAGTCAGTGATTGGGGTGGAGGTAAGAGGTAGAAGCTGAGCCTTCAAGGAGGGTCAGAAGACAGGAAAAATATATAGCATGAATGTTGAAGGAGGAAGTGATTAGAGTTAAGCAGAAATAGCAATACCTACCCCACAGAGGTAGGTATTCTGAGAAATAAATAAGGTGTTGCATATATAGCACTTAATACGGAGCATGGTATACAGTTGATGCCCAACAAATATTAGTTTGAGAGACTGAATATACAATGGACAAAGCCAGGCCATATATAAAATAAAATTCTGATGCACAATCTGTAGTAATAGTTCAGAAACCCAGCCCCTTACCTATGGTAACCAATCCAGGAGGCCAGCCTGCTATCTGTAGGTCAGAGTTGCATGAAGACAGCCATTCTAGTACTCAGTCCAGGAAGCACACACAAGTAACTGACCAAAGTGGACAGGACTTGAAATGTGAGATGGGAGCAATGTGAAATGCAGCAGACCACACAAGGCCTAAGCTTGAGCTATCTCAGGAGGACAAGTTAGGGCTATGGGAAAATTCCAGGCCAAAACAACAGAGGCCGGGTTCCTGTCAAAAATAAGATGTATGGGGCCTCCCCGGTGGCACAGCGGTTGAGTGCTGGGTTGCTAAGCTGCCCGCGGCCTCTGCGGCGCCGGTTCGATCCCCGGCTGCTCCCCGGCCACCAGAGGAGGGTCCCACATGGCGCGCAGACCTCTCCTGCCGCCCGCTGCTCCCCTCAGCAGTGTACTTCGGTCCTTCTGCCTGCTCTGCTCCCCACTCTGGCTCTGGTGAATTCTCTCGCCCTCCCGCGCTTCTGCCTGTACCCACTGCATGTATAAACAAACAAAACAAAATAAATAAATAAATAAATAGATAAATAAATAAATAAATAAAACATGCCTCTATTAAAAAAAAAATTCATTAAAAAAAAAAAATAAGATGTATGTGTCCTTTGTACCTGAAACATGGGATGTGGTGAAATGCTCCGCTGCTTGTAACAGCATAGTTTGGCTTCTGTACTCCACTTGCTGTGGCAACTGCAAACTCCCGGGTGCGGTATGTAACAGCAGAGTTTAGCTTCTGTACCCCCTCTTGCTATGGCACCTACAAACTCCCAGGTGTGGTTTTTGGCTTTAAAAACCCTTATCAGCCCCTGCTGGGGCTGCTCCCTACAGCAGGGAAAGTCGCTGGCCGGCTAATAAAGGCTTTTTCTAAGTTTGATTTAGACTCAGGTCTGTGTCTAGGGGGAGACTCTACAACAGAATAGTATCTAATAGTTTCCTTAATTTTTGTCCTGTTTCCAACTTAGGACCAACCAGAAAAAAACAAATATACATTCCTAACCATCACATGGGGTGCCCCACTTTGAGTTAATGTACCTACAGCTCCCCCAGACCAACGACCTCTTGATCAGCTATGAAGCTTGATCAGACCCTTGATCCGCTATGAAGCTTTCCCCTCCTCTGCATTTACCAAGAAGGCAAATGACGATGGCTGATTCCCTTGCTATAGTAAGCTTTGAAATATACATCCTGTATTTGTTTTCTTTTGGTTGGTCTGCATTTATTTCTACATGTTCAATTCTTTCACTTATTCATTCAAGGAGTTACTCAAGATGTATTGAACCTCTACTGTATGCAAGATGCTATGCTAGTCCCTGTGACTCTATGTTAGGTCCAGAGTCCAGGGTCCCAATCATTGAGCTGATGGTAGTTCAGTGGAGATGAAAAATAAATAGCAAGCTAAATTCA